GAGATTTTCTTCTTAATTATTTTATTTTTTCAAAAGCAAGGTTGACCCTGATCATATACCATATCAAATTAGGCTAAAGAATCGGGTTCAAAGAATAGCTAAGACATTTGGTTTGAAATAAAATGGTTTATTATTTTTAATTTTTTTTGACAACTATTGATGTGCTTAACATCTGGAAATAAATTGGAATTATGGCTTATGTACTCAGCTCTGGCTCAAGAAATTAGAATTCCCTTGGGCAAAATATGTTTTTGGCCTTTTATCTAATTTATGTTAAAGAAATTCAATTTTTTGGGCCTATAAAAAATGAGTTTTAAGATATCTTTATATATAAATTGGCATTTTCACATTTGAGAACAAAAAATGAAAAATAGACCTAAAGTTATTTCCGGTCAGCTATTCGACTACTTTACAATAAAAATGGGTCCCATAGTCTGAGAATCGTTTTTTCGAAATAAACGGCCTTTGCGACGCTGCCCCTCTCTCCACCCTAGTTGAGCCAGACCTGTATATACTTCTTGTTGTAGTGTTTCTCGTGCCAACAAGACTAATGGCCATAACCACCTTCTCAACTTCATTTATTCTTGTGACTATGACCAACTTGTCTACCATCTCCCATCGTGGAAATCCGTTAGACAAACTTTGATCTCACATGTATTAACTAGCTTATTAGCCTTTGCTTCAAAGCTCTCTTGGGTTATTTTTTTAACTCATATTATCTATCCTTAGATGCCTTGCTTGTTTTTGTTCTAAAACTTTGGATTTATGTATCCTTCTCTTTGTACTAATATTTATGATTTATAAATCAAGTTTTTGGCCCAAAAAAAAGTGAAATATATTAGAATCTAATCTTGAAATTGCAAAGAACGACTTGGTACTTTGCTATACTATTGCAAGGAGAAAATTTATCATAATACCTTGTTGCCTTATCATTTTCAATATAATAGCAACAACAAAAAAACTGATCAATTGTTTTAATTTTATAATAGTTACAATCATTTGTAAACGTAACATATAGTTCACCTTAAGGAATTTCTTTTTTCTTTTTCTTTCTCTTTAAGTTTTACCAAACCTAAATCCAAACTAATTTTAACAAGTCTACATAAATCATAATTACCTCCTCATTTTCTCCGCTTTAATAACTGAAATAGCAATAAATGAACTGTATGGTTGATAGTAGTTCAGACTTTTTTAATAAGAAAACTATAATCGTTAAACAATTTTATATTTAATCATTTAATTTATTATTTGTAGCAAAACAACAAAAGAAAAAAACGTATGAATGCAAATACAAGACTTGTTTCTATCACTTGGTGCAACAACATTTGTTTCCGAAAGAAGTAGCACATCTCCCAGATGTGAACCCAGCCTTCCTACAATCCGCCGCACATTTACCATCACCGTACGTCGGCGAACAAGTGTTCTTGCACATATCATCAATTCTCCCAGAAGGTTTGATCTCTGCATGTCCACAAAGTCACCACATATTAATATCGTATATAATCATATCTACGTTCTTGCTTTGAAACGATGAAACCTAATCAGAAAACATTACCTGAAGCCAAGATGTTGTAACTGGACAAAGAAGCTGAAATTATAATCAAGAGTAAGAAAGTCATCGAAGTCTTGGTGTTGCCCATTTTCTTGCTTGAAGTATCAAACTATAAAGTTTATTTACAAAATATGTTATGTGAGTTTCTAGATTATAAGTAGAAGCTATATTTATAGAACATTAAGGTTTTTGTGATTGTCAAAAAGAAGTTTACAATTGATGGATCTTCCATATATATGAATAAATTTGTAGTTTGACTAAAAAATATTTTTATATATATTGGTGCATGTATATGGATCTTCCTATATAATAAATAATATTTTTACTCAGTAAAGAGATTTTTTTCTTAATTATTTTTTTTTGTTTTCAAAAACAACGTTGACCTGGATCATATATCATATCGAATTAGGTTAAAGAACCGGGTTCAGATAATAGCTGAGATATTTTGTTTAAAATTAAATGGTTTCTTAGTTATGATTTATTTTCTTTTTTGACAACTCTTGATGTACAAATTCTGGCTTATGTACTCAGCCATGGCTCAAGAAATTAAAATGCCCTTGGGCAAAAAAATGTTTTTTGCCTTTTCTCTATTTATGCTAAAGAAATTTTAATTTGTGTGCCCATAAAACATGTTTTAAAAGATATTTTTATACATAAATTGACATTTTCACATTTGAAAAGAAAAAAAAAATGAAGCATGAACCTAATGTTATTTTTTGTCACCTATTCTACTACTTTACAATAAAAATGGGCCCTATAATCTTAGAATAGTTTTTAAAAACTAAACGGGCTTTACGCCGTTGCCCCTCTATCCACATTAGTTGAGCCAGACCTGTATGTACGACTTCATGTAGCCTTTCTCGTGCCAGCGAGACAAACAGCCATGACCACCTTATCAACTTCATTTAGTCCTGTGACTATGACCAACTTGTCTACCATCTCCCATCGTGGAAATCCGTTAGAAAAACTTTGATCTAACATGTGTTAAATCGCTTATTAGCCTTTGCCTCAAAACTCTCTATGATTATTTTTTAACTCCTATTATCTCTCTTTATATGCCCTGCTTGATTTTGTTCTTAAACTTTGGATTTATATATATTTCTCTTTGTACTAATATTTATGATTAAATGAATCAAGTTTTTGCCGGAAACAAAATGAGAAGTATATTAGAAGCTAATATTGAAACTGCAATTATCGACACGGTACTTTGCTATGCTATCACAAGGAGAAGCTTTATCATAAGACCTTGTTGCCTAATCATTTTCAAAATAATACCAACGAAAAAAATAACATAACTAATATCTTTTTTCGATTTTATAATAGTTACAATCATTTGTAAACGTAACATATAGTTCACCTTAAGGATATTTTGTTTTTCTTTTTCATTATCTTTAATTGTTACCAAACCTAAATCCAGAGTAATTTTAACAAGTCTACATAAATCATAATTACCTAATCATTTTCTCCGCTTTAAATAACTGGAATCGCAATAAAAGAGATGTATGGTGATAGT